TGTTTGATACATCAATGAGATACTTTGTATGTCATCAATTTTATTTTCGTATCTGATATCACAATGACTCCATTGTGTTATTATTTCAAAAAAATCTCATCGCTCATGGAATGTCAAATTTCAAGCAATTACAAATCAGATCAAAACTGGTCTGGGATTGCCTTCAAAGCCTGCTAACACTGGCCATCCCTGGCTAACCACAACAAGGTAACTCTTCAATGGGTGCCAGGGCATAAGGGAATTGAAGGCACTGAAGCAGCTGACGCTCTTGCCAGGCAAGGGTCTGCGGCGTTGTTTATGGGACCGGAACCTGTGTTCGGTATCCCCAAAACCTCAATACGCGGCTGGTTTGCAAGGTGGATGCAAGAAAGACATCAGGCATACTGGAACAATGTCCCAGGACAAAGACACAGTAAACTGATGGTTGGAACACTGTCCAAAACAGTGACTAACGACATTCTGAGCCTAAACAGAATGCAGATCAAGTGACGGGACTATTAACCGGTCACTGCCCCTTGAGGAAACATATGCATCAAATGGGCATCTATACAGACGAACCCATATGCAGACTATGCAATGAGGAGGAGGAAACTGCCACCCATGTAATATTGGAGTGCGAAGCACTAGCGCGTTGGATATACAACCTTCTGGGAGCAGTAAACTCTCAAGAGGCATTTTCAAAGAATGATTTGGTGAAGAGGCTGCTAAACCTCATCAAGGTAGCGAACCTGTTCCCCTAAGTCAACAGCTTGATCAGGAATACAATAGGCCCAAAGGCTGCAGTGTTTCGGGCTTCGAACCCTGCTATTAATCAATCAATCAATCAATCAATCAAGCAATGACAGCTCTGTCAAATAGATCAGCATTACTTGACAGGAAATCAGATGGCTACAAGACGAAGAAATCGAAAATGCCGCTGTTATCTATTATAGCCGTAGAAAGATTATAGTGTATAACTTGAATGATTGCAGCATTCGACTATGGTTCAAGGTGCAAACTTCATTCTCGAAAGAAATCACTATCATTCCGTGCTCGTTAAACAATATACTATTTCCTCCTTACTTATCCTATAAGGAAACTTTCATTTCATATATGTATTTTCGGCTTGATGATAACCCCTAGTAGTCGAAACATGCAGTAGCATGATTTACATTTCAAATTTTAGATTTGAAGTGACACTGAGTTTTCCTCTTCATGAGTTTATAGATCCAACATATTCGAAATGAATAAAAAAATTCAATGAACACTAGAGGATGTTATAACTATCTATAGAAACCCTGTATGATAATGACATTCATGATATATTGCTGGATGAAATTGTGTTGCTTTCATCAGAGATTATACACTCCCCTTTCATTCAATATAAAAAAAAATCTGCTTAAATCAGTTCTGTTCAAAATAGGGAGGAACTTGAAAATAATATCTGCATATTTTTCTGTATCAATAAGTAAACTGTGAACATTTAGAGCATTTTTGAGCTCGTGTTACAATAATTGTTACTTGAAATATCAAGATTTATGTAAGTTTTTTATTAATTAACTAGATGTCCGGTCTAGCTTCGAACAGTTGGTGTACCCATTTAAAAAAATTAAACATTTGTGTTGCTGTCGTTCTAAGCTATGCGCGTATCTACAGTAAATATTTTTTCGTTATTTTTTATTTTTTTACTTTTTTGCTTACCTATAGCTACTATCATAACAGTGTGTCCCAGCTGAAACTTGTCACCCTCCAAATTTCCGATGTTGAAAAAATTGAAAATTGCTCGAACAGGTCGATTTCAATTTGGCGGGGGACACATTTTTCTGCAATTATCATATTCCAAAGTTGAAACCTTGAAGCATAACGGGCATCAACTTTCGATTTTCAAATGGAACACCCTGTATTTCATTGCATTTTTAGATTCTCCCTGGAGAGCTGCTTTCATCAATGCATCACACTTGGTGTCTAGCGGGAATGATTACAGAGATATAGGGTGTTTAAAATCGAGATTTTTCAACTTTAGGATTTTTTGTGTCGAAACTATTCATTATCGGTAAAAACGGCTTCCATGTCCCTATCTTGACTTTCGATTTACTATCTACTGACATTCGATTGGAACAGATACAGGGTGATCAGAATTCTGAATCTTGAACCACCCTAACCAAATAAAATTTCAACCCAATCGGTTCAGCCGTTTAGAAGTTATGAGATGAAAATCAGTACGGAAGGATAATACTTACTACCCGTTGTCCAATTACCCGTTTTCTCGTAGAAATGAAGCATTTTCTCGCGGTAAAAAGTAGCCTATGTTTATCAGGGATAATGTTGGCTTCTAATGGTGAAAGAATTTTTTAAATCGGTCTAGTATTTTCGGAGCCTATTCAATACAAACAAACGGCTAAGCCGATTTGCACAAACGAAGCGTTGTTGGATAGAGAATCAAGAGGCCTTCAGAAGAAGGAACCACATGACCCCTTTTTACATTCGAAAAAAAAATGAATGGTGCCCACTTGACACTAGGCCACGTGACACGTGACCACAACCATTTTCATTCCTAAATGTAGTTAAAAAGGTACCTTTTTACTTGAATTTTATCCGACCTCGTGGCTTGTTCCGTTCCAAAGTTAAAGAAAGGGGGGGGGGGAGGACTTTTCACGTTCTCACTGTATACATAACATAAACTAATAACATTCGACGGAAAGCAAGTTGTCCTCAACTTCTCACTGCGAATGATAATTAGAAAAGCAAGTATGAATAATAATGCTCATTATCGAGAGCTTTCTTCGGTTCACATATCTTCAGAATGAGTGGAAGAGAAACGGGACCTGTTACTCTTGAATCTTGTAGGGGGTCAGCAATCGAGAGAAATTTCGTGATCTAACAATCAAAGAAGGCGGACGTTCAGTGAAAGTGAAAGTAATTATCAAAATAAATGAACACATCGATGTCATCGATGAAGGATTTTTCTATAGGAATGAATACAATGGATGATGCCGAAATCCTCAAGAGCCATGCCATGTCATGTTGATATAAGTAATTGAATGTTATTTTTTCCTGTATTGACTCGACAGTTTTTGATGGAAATCTATAGAAAATGTGAAATACGGTGTGACGGATCACTTAATTATAAAAAAACAAATTCATGAGCGGGCAATTTATGAGGTCAAGAAGAATGTTAGAATTTTGCGTTTGCTGTTTCCTAATGAATCCAAATGAAATTTTATTTCTATATTTTCTGCATGTCAAATTTCGAAATTATCATCAAAACAGGGTCCAAGATAAGAGGAGGACGAGTATGGGTATGTTGGAAACTGCAAGATATACATAAACTGGGCGTCAATTGAAACGTTAATAGTGAAATTTGGCATCAAGTTTGACTTCTCGTAATTTCTGAAATATTGAACGAATTTTGAATTGCCGCCCAGATTCTGAATGCCTTTTTCATCGTCTTTCGAACCATTCCTTACAGCTCCTTCTGAGTTGATCAGGACCCGTGATACAGGGTCAAACAAAGTTTCGTGCATTTTGACAAAAATTTCTCCGCCCCCCCATTTTGTCGGAAGACCACGATGCTCATATTTTATTCAGGCATTTCATAATAGGAAACCATACCTCGGGACGTTTTCGAGTTTTTGCCAAAAACTACTGTGGTTTCCGAAAAAAGCGGGGGAAAGGAAGCGTTGGAGCAGATATGTATACCAGGTTACTCAAAAACAATCAATAATTTATTACTTTGCAGTCTATGATAAAAGTTTTCTACCTTAGTGAGCTGTAAATCAATACATCTCATCAACAAAAACAAACAACGATACCTTGTTTCTCTAACAACGTATTGTTGAAACAATAATGTAGATATGCATAGAGGTTATATCAATTGCCAATTTTCATGAAAACGTTAGTGTAATTCGGGTCCTAAAAAATTTAAAGATGCCTCGTTCAAATCGGGTCGAAATGGAAAATCATTAGGTAAGATCATTATAGTGATATAAACTATAATTCAGTACAGATAATTATTATTTCAGGCTACGACGATTAGGATATACCCAAACTCATTTAAGTTCAATTTTCAATAAGTCAGTCATGACAATAAATAGACTGATTCATCGTTTTGAGGATACAGGTAATCAGTCCATTAAAGAAAAATTCGAAAAATTTTTTTTTTCAGACCCCACAGTAGTTTTTGGCAAAAACTCGAAAACGTCCCGAGGTATGGTTGCTATTTATGAAATGCCCGAATGAAATATGAGCATCGTGGTCTTCCGACAAAATGGGGGGGGGAGAAATTTTCTTCAAAATGCACGAAACTTTGTTTCACCTTGTATCACGGGTCCTGATCAATTTAGAAGAAGCTGTAAGGAATGGTTCGGAAGACGATGAAAAAGGCATTCAGAATCTGGGCGGCAATTGAAAATTCGTTCAATATTTTAGAAATTACGAGAAGTCAAACTTGATGCCAAATTTCACTATTAACGTTTCAATTGACGCCCAGTTTATTTGGTTGTATGAGAGAAAAGTTGCGCAATTGCGGAGCGTCAATCGAATGATTTTAAAGAATTCTTGATATCACATTTTGGTTTTGAAGAGTATCCAAAAAACTGTATGTACTACTAGAATTTCAATTTCAGTTATTTCTGTCGTCGATAATGAAGAAATGACCAAACTGAAGAAACATCTCCATGGCAACTTTTTATGTCACCCAATTTGACATTCTCCATGCTATGATCCAACGTTTTGTCTTTGAGCAACCATCATCAACTTTACATCATCAAACATGACCCTGATGATATCTTGATATCAAATTCGAATAGTCCTTTCCATTCAGATTTCGACGATATGATACACATACCTAGTGATTTTGATGCGTTTCGAATATATTTTAGCCATCATCAAGTAGTATTTGGAATATTTTCAAATCACGTTATATCCGTTGTTGACTGCAATCTCGTTGATGTATCTATCAAAACTATTATGCTGCAATTTTTTTCTCTTTTTCTTTCAGGTTTTAATTAGGATCTATCAAAATGACGAATGTGATAAATTCCACACAGGATCTAGTACATAAGGTCTACGACTACTATCTATGGACATTATCCTTATCAGGTGAGTAGAGATATCAGGTGACAATAAACATTTTACATACACATACTTTTTATACCCAGATTTTTTTCAACATTTTGTGCCACCTCATTATTGAAGCCTCTAGATTTGACTCAAGTTAATAGGTAATAAATTGAAAGTAAAAAAAAAACTTTTTAATAAAAAGCTTTTTTCTGCAACCGACACAAGAGTCGTCCATTTTGATACCAAAATTAGCTCTTAAATTGACGTTTCTATTACTGACACAAAAATAGGTATGTTCCTAGGAGCTAAAGTTGAACTTTAGCTCCTAGGAACTAAAAAGGATGTACTGAACGTCATCAAGAATAAACAACATTGTGACGGTTGGTTATTTGGGTTGAGACGCTTACCTGATTTGTTTCCGATTTCAGCAGATTTGGCATTTCATACCCATGCTGGCGATATAAATACACCTTATTATAGTTTAGTATTGGAATTATAAACATCTCAGTTAATTATTTTTGTTTTGATCAGGGAAGCCTTCAAGATTCAAATACTTGCTTGATCTGTATTTCATTCGTTATTCTCGGGATGGATAACTTGTTTTGAATAATCACGGCAAGCAATAGTTTTTTTGTCTCAACAAACAACGATATTGTTTAGCTTCATTTGATTATCAAGTCAAACACAGTGTAGTATGCCAGTATGGAGAGGAATAAATAATCACTATTATCATTGTTGATATGCTCACTAACCTAACATTTTCCACGTCTTGTTCCTATAGCTGGCACTAGCGCGGTATTTGCCATTAGAGCACCTGGTCCATACACAAATATGTCACTCTGTGGTTGTATTTACATTGAAACTACAATTCGAACATCCTTGAAAACCTAACCTGCTGTTAATGCAGGTAGAATATTCTTACCACATGGATTATTTGTCCATATTTGTTGCATTGCATACATATGGCACGGCATTGGTGATTACTTCACATGTTTGTTTGAGTTAATTGTTTCGGTTGCAGAAAAAATAGCATGTTTCATTCGGATCAAAAGTGACTCTGTTCGACTCGCAAATTTTGCTTTCGCTCGGCTTCGCTAAACGCTCCGCCTCGCAAATGCAAAATTCGCTTGTCAAACAAAGTGTCACTTTTGATCCTAATAAAACAATCTACTATTTATTAAAAAGTTTTTTTTAACTTTTAATTTATTTTTTAATTTTTAGTTACCGCTAGCTGGATTTTTCGATTTACTTTCAACGAGCCTTTTCATTTGATACCCATATTGTAGAAGTATATTGAAAATGACCATTCCGCCATCTTGGATATATGGTCCGCCATAATTGATTTAGAATGACGTCACATCATTTTTCGAGTTACTCTCAACGAGCCTTTTCATTTGATACCCATATTGTAGAAGTATATTAAAAATAGCTATTCCACCATCTTGGATGGTCCACCATATTGGATTTAGAATAACGTCACATCATTCTCCGAATTACACTCAACGAACCCTTTCATTTGATACCCATATTGTAGAAGTAGATTAAAAATAATGAACATTCCGCCATCTTGGATGGTCCGCCATATTCGATTCAGAATGACGTCACATCATTTTTCGAGTTACTCTCAACGAGCCTTCTCATTTGATACCCATATTGTAAAAGTATATCAAAAATAGCTATTCCGCCATCTTGTTTTATCCGTCATTCGGTTGCCCCCTCACGAGCAACCCTCAGAAGTCTTCGAGAGTCTTGTGCGAGCAAGGAATGACGGGGGCATTACCTATCAAATCGGGTCGATTCTGTTTGCAAATAGCAATATGGTTGTAGAGAAAATATTGCTATCATAGCAAGATTCGAAAAAGTGGAATTCTAATCATCGATTTTTGGCAATATGATGTGTCAATTTCAATGACATCTGGTCAGCTTTCTTGCTATCTCGGCAACATCTATTTCGTGCTTGCTATCTTATTATAACAAGGTATAGTGGATTTTTTGTTTTTGCACTACAAATTCTTCCAACTGTATGAAAATTCAGAAAATGTGGATTGAAAACATTTTAGAGTTCAGTTGTGTCACTGACTACTCGAAAACCTTTCCTCAAAGTTTAGATTCGTAGAATTATTGAAAAACTTAGAATGGTGATTACAAACATATAGGATAGGTTCATTACCGTGACCAACTACTTGAAAACCTTTTCTTGAAGTTTCAATTTGTAGAGGAAATATGAGACTACAATTTCGGCATATCAGAGAAATTTCAGTTGCCTGATGGATAGTTTATCAAGCTATTTTGCTAGAATATTTTTAAAAAATCACGATTATTTTCATCCGGCTGTTAGTTGTTTTCTCATTTCGGGGACATGATTGATTACTTGCCAGTCGCACAACGACGACCATATTCAGCAAATACAAAATCTCTCGATTTGAACAATATAATTTTGTAAAATGTCAGCGCAGGACTGACTAATTTGAGAGGTTAGATAATCATGAACTCTTCTTCTTCATGAAATAATGGCAAGATCGATACCTAACACTTAAACAATGAGTTGAAAACAATGTTGTCAGCTCAAAAATTCTCAATTTTTCAACAATATTGCTATCACTTGAACTTATAACCAGTCTTGCAGTTACTCTGCAAACAGAATACAGAACTTCATAGCAATATTGTTATATGTTATGATCATAACAATATTATTATCTTATCAATGTTATAACAAGATCCGAACAGAATCGACCCGAAGTGTGATCCCAAACACTTTCTTCGACCATCAGAAAAATTCCTCTGGGAATCGAACCCACGACCTTCAAGCGAATGCAGATTAGAATATTGACACTCTGTCCGCACGGCTACCTGCCGGAAGAGGTGTGCCTAACAAATGCTGGGCCGATAGGCTACGATAAACCAAAATCGTAAATGTCTAAGTGATGCTGTATTTCTCAATTTTTCAGACGCAAGGACTAAAGGATGGCCTCTGGTGGACTCACCTGTACCCACTCTATTCTACATCGGGGTATATCTCTGCATAGTGTGGGTGGGGCCGAGAGTTATGGCGAAGAGGAAACCACTCCAGCTAACATGGCTATTGATACCTTACAACTTGTTCATGGCATTATTGAACGGGTACATCGCAGTAAAGGTAGGCAAAAACGCATTCACAATGTTGAGCGAACAATGTGGTGGTATACACACTAGTCGAATTTACGCCACAAACCTCATTCATATTGATAATTCCGTGTATAAATTGGTATTGGTGGGTTGGATGGTGACAGATACGCTGCGACCTAATTAGATCTATTGTGCCCCATCTGCTTCTGCTATAACAAGGATTTCTTGTTCATAGCAACCCCTCAAGATCTCCTCCCTCGGTATGTGATGGGGTGTTTCTGGTTCTTCCTCACAGAATATGCAGGTGCCGTCCTCCTGTAAGCCTAGCTTCCTTAGGTGTTCTTTGAGTCTGCAATGCCCCGTTAGAAATCCCTTCATTGCTTCGAGATTTCCTTTGCTGAGGTTCATCAGTGTTTTACATCTTTCTCGGTTGATATTTCCAAGGAGATCTTTGGCCTGCCGCAGTCCTGGAAGTCTTCTCCGTTGTCTCGCTCTCAAGGCTCCTTCTGCCTTTTCAAGTTCTCCTTGGAAATAGGAATTTCCAAGACCGCAGAATGGCTCTGGTCCGATCAGTGGCGTTGAAGCCCCTTGTCGTATAGTACATTAACATATATTTTTTCAATAATGGTTCGGCACCTTCGAAAAACGCCAGCTTCGATGACGTCATGAAGCCAGCCGAAAGTCATCGTTATCTGATTTCTGGCTTTCGCATATAAAGTAGGACCACATATTTCGACACTGCCAGATTTGTAACTAGTAATTACCTTATGAGATTCAATATGACCAATGGCAACAGTTTTCACATTCACAGGACAATAGTTCGACCTAGTGCCTGCTAATAATTACTTATTGAATACTTATATACTTGCAAGATGCTAGTACCAATAATAATCTTCTAGTATTCCTGATAATCATCCAGATATTATTTATACCCAAATTATGTTGTGGCTCTGGCAACAGCGTGATGCCTAGAGTTCCCAGAAATACAAGAAGAGAAGAAGAAGACGAACTACATTGTCAACCTAACTTCCTAACGTCAATATCGTCTGTCACCTTAATCTTCAAATCCTCCTCCTGAAGAGGCAAACTTTTTTCATATTTTGATTGAAATGACAATCAAAAATAGTCTTGCACTTATCTCACGGAAATAGATAATAGATACGTGCACAAAAAAGGCCAGTGTTGTATCTTCTGAATCATTCGAGATCACTTTTCGAAAGTTGGTGGGAAGTAAGTATACCAAATTGCTCATCGATTGCCAAAACCATTTTTGTTCAATCACTCTCGGTTCCACCAGAGACGACAACTTTTGATTTTTATATGGGACACTCTGTATTCAATTCCATAATCGGTTAGAGATTACTATGACGAATTCAACGATAACATGTTCGATGAGGTTATTTTAAACTATCACGAATATATTTGCTACCGAAGTCTCCATATGCGCGATTATCTTCGTAATCGTTTGAGATAACCCTAACAATCGTATCGTTGATTTGATGCAGGGTGTCCCATTTGAAAATCAAAAGGTTTGGTTTCCATAAAATTATTTCGAGGATTTTTTTCTATATGATACTAATTTTCTTCAAGTGTATATTCGTTGATATGTTACGTTATTGGCAAGCAGACAGCAGAAGGTCTACTATTGAATACTTTTCTTTATTTTTCTGACAACTTAACGTATGAAACTCAGATATCCGACATTTTTTATCAATTATTATTCGATCTACAACCACCAGTCGAAGAAACGACAAACTTCATAGGTATCCGAAAAAATATTCACATTCACCCTACCCTGTATATTTACAACAATTTATGATAGCTACCAAAAATCAACATCGGTCACTGAATAGGTTTGAGGTGATAATTTTCTTGATTTTTAGCTATTAACAGCATCTACAAGACTGAGATACAGCTATATATGTGAACCTTGTAGACAGAAGTATAACGCAGATGAATTACAAGTATGTTCCATCAAAAAAATAGTCTGTTGAACACATTGTTAATCGAATTATTTTAGATTGCTGATGCAGTTTGGTGGTACTACTTCTCGAAACTGCTGGAATTTTGTGATACGTTTTTCTTCATATTGAGGAAAAAGGATAATCAGCTCACCTTCCTCCATGTCTACCATCACGCTACCATGTTCGCCTTTTGGTGGATTGGAATCAAATGGGTACCCAGTGGATCCAGTAAGTACATACCTTTATATATTCACAATACTTTTCCACAATATACACTCACTGGCAAAAAAAATTGCCATCAGAAATGTAGTTCCCTTTCAACACACGTTATATAACTAGAAAATCACAGTTTTCACACTGGCAGTAAGAAGCAGGCGTTGAATATGGTAGATTTTACATATTTCAATTCATCTGGAACAACGTTCAAATGTACAGAATTCTGTTTAGTTCATCATCAAATTTTCTGCTCAAATAAGATCAGGTAGTGCTACCTGTCAGCAGACCGTTTCACTTGTGTAGAATCACTCTGTAGCGTGTGACTTACACGTATTAGCTACAGTTGACAGCGATCTACTGAGTAGGAGTGTTGAAGTCTTGAACCTTTCTCAAAGTCATGTGATACCTAGAGGCGGGGCTAATGAATATGGTGGTGGGAGCAGATAAGATTCCTACTGAGAATATCTGACTTCAATCTTTGAACTTAGAAATCATTCTGGACGAGTGAAATATAGTATTTCAATCAACTCCTAAACATCTTTTTGAATATTTCCAGCTCAGCATGTAATATGAGTTTGTTTTCAAGCAATAACTTATTCGGATTGGATTTTTTTTGATAACTTTCTTTAGATTGGAAGGATTTCAATTCATCTATTTGATTACAGCATTTTTACCAGCCATGGTGAACTCAGGGATTCACGTGATGATGTATTCCTACTATGGTCTATCAGCTCTTGGCCCTAAAGTTGCTCAATATTTATGGTGGAAGAAGTACCTGACGATCCTTCAACTGGTGATTATTGAACATTGCTAGTTATTTCTTTCTCACAATATGATTAACATTGTTTTTGTTTGTTGTAGATTCAGTTCACTTGTGCCTTGATCCTGGGAATGAATGGTATCAGAACTGGGTGTGAGTTCCCTCTTTGGATGCATTACACTCTGATTATATACATGGTGTCGTTCATCGTGCTGTTCGGAAACTTCTACGTCAAAGCCTATATGGAAAAAGTGAGTTTCAGCAATATGAGAATGAAATATTCATTGATCGATCTCAGAGTTATAAATCAGGATCTACCAACGAAAACTTGACCCCTCCTAGAAAACCGAATCCTCTATCACCTCCATTGATGCCCCATCAAACTTTTTAGTTTGATTTTTGTTAGTGTAATTATCACCTTTCTGAAATTCAAGGGCCGTACGTTTAATCAGCGCATTCATGAACATAAGATGAATTTTTTGAAAAATAAAACAAATTCAACATACGCCAAACATATATTAGAAGAAAACCATAGTTTTGATGATAATTTCGAAATTCTACACTTAGAAAATAAAGTACTGAAACTCAATCATTTTGAATCATTAGAAATCAACAAACTCAAAAATTTTGACATTCTACTTAATGATCAATTGGACCTCAATAGTTCACCACTGTTGAATTTGTTTTCTTAGTAAGTAATAATATGTTGCTATCAACTCTTTCAAGTTAATCCGGTATACCGTATTTTAATGTAGATATTATGCCTAATTTCCGAAAATGGAGGTTTATCGTACCTGTCCACAGGTAACTAATCCTTCAGGTTGGGAAAGTAGGATATATAAAAGTCAAGCAAGCCAACGTTAGTTTAGTTCATTGTACCAGTATATCACCTGACGAAGCTACTGTGTTAGCGAAACATGTCGTGTGTTTGAGAATTTTGTGGAAATCTTATCGTTTGTGAAGTTTTTACATTTGGTAACTCCGATGAAGATTTAGCCTAATTGTTTATTCTCTTTATAAATAGTGTAAAATGATAATAGAAAGAGTACTAACATAATGCATTTTCATGAATAAAATCACTTTCTAAGTAGCGATGTCAGTACTAATGTTATTAAAATCATGTTAGTACTGGAGGGTTAATGAAATTTTTTTCAGTTACAGAAATAAAAACTCAATTTATTTATAATATGGAAAAATGAGGATGGTTGATAATAATCATTTTTTTCGATTGTTTTAGGGTAGCCAAGTATTTTTCGGAATGGATGTTGGTTGCGGCCAAGGCAATACGTACATGGAGAGGAACAAAAATATATCGATACAATCGCACAATGGAATTCAAAATGATATCGAGAAGAAATACATGTAGAATGTTACAACAACAATACATAACCATCTGTAGATTAATAAATTGAGGAGTAATTCTTCCTCATCCAAAATGAGCTGATTTCAAAATATAATGTGTGCAAAAGTTTCTTGTTATTTTGAAGTATTTTTTTAAATATTTGTTATGAAATAGTCAATTATGATATGAGAAATTTTCGTGATTTCTTGATTGACTCATTTAAATATATATCGTACGTTGATGTTTTATATTGTTTATATTTTGTATATATTATTTGTTGAGTATTTTTTAAGTTTGTCCGAAAATTGTCTGCTATATGGGGAACAAATCTAGTGGAATGGATATTATTGTTGTGTTGCATGAGAAAAAAGTGCTAGACTGATGAATAGATCGTAATTTTAAATATGATATTGATGATATAGAAAACACCCGGAGACACAAAAGATATCCGGTAACAGATTTTTTTCCCAACTAGCTGGATATTGTTTGAATATTGTGACATAATTTCGATATCTCGTAGAATTCATCATTTGCCCTGTACCTAATGAAACTAATTCTACTTCACTGCCATTTACATGAAAAACCACTGATATAGAGAAAATTAATCTCAGGGTAAACGTTCGATCAGACAAAATTTTATTGAAATCCATAAAAATGGGTTTCTGCTTTCTGAGAAGGCTTTTAAACATTTTAGCGATGACAATATAATGTATAATTTTTATTCACAATAAAGTGTTCGGATGACATTTCAATCACTGTTTTTTTACCTATACCTGGGTACTTTTTGGACTTTTCTTGACAAATTTCCTTCCATTGTTTATCAATCTCAGTTTTATATTTCCAACATTTATTTTCCAACTTGTTCAAGTTTTTGGATAGCTGCAAGTATAGGGCCTCGAACATCTCATTACACGCCCTATGAACTTTTTTTTATGTTCTGGTTCCCACGAAAAGGGATATCCTATAATGTTCAGAGAACATCGAGAGAACCAAGGGAAATAAGGTGGGAATTGGTGTTCTCCTCGAATTTCTGGAGGTTATATGCCTCGGGGAACACCTCCCTTGGCAATGTGTTCCAGAGCCTCGCTGTTCGTTGGATGAACGAGTCTTGGGAAATAGATGTTCTGCAGGTCTCCATAGTGACCACGAAGGAGTGCGAAGCCTGAACTCGACGGGTTAATCTAGCTCCTGGAGGGGAAAGAGAAGATAAGGAAGGAGATATTGAGCCGATTTCTGATGAACATCAAGAAATATCTGAAGTGAGCCGCGATGAATCAGGGAATCAGGTGCTACCTGGAGATGTTGACACATCAGAAACAGTTATCCAAGGAGATGCCAATCCAGTTACGATTCATTCTGATCAGATGGAGATTCTACCAGAAAATCCGAATCTCACATCAGAAACAACACTTCAAGAAAATACGAACCCTCATATGATTCATTCTGATAGGAATTCTAACATTACTTCACGATTGAGGCGAAATGTTAGACCACCAAAATATTTAGAATTGTATCAGCGTTATAATTAAGCTGGGGAGAATGTGATGAATCATCTTCATCTAGTTTATGAAACATACTGTACTTTTAGTTGTGACATTTGTCATATTGTTATATTCTGATATGTCTATCATTTTGCTCAATAAAGCCAATCCTTTGGTTTGAATATTCTTCACAGGAACAATTGTTGATATTTCAGAAGATCATCGTCCATGAAAATATCTATGAAATGAAGCCATATCGCCAACTTTTTTACGGTGTTCCAGAGAAGTGAGTGAGTTTGTGAGCGAGGCATCACCCACGAGACGAATTGCCCTTTTAAGGACAGGTCGGATATGTGCATTATAGATAGATAGATAGAAGGCGGTATGGAGGGTACTTTCATCCGCAAAGCTGTGTACTGGACATGAAGTTGCTTCCAACAAATCGTTGATATGGAGTAGAAATAGTGTTGGTGCTAGAATTGATCCTCGCGGAACACCAGCATTTATGATAAGAGAGCCAGGTGAAACTTCGTCGACCACTACATGGAGAGACCTGTTCGAGAGAAAACTAGCTAGCAGAGAACATAGCTGGGGAGACAAGCCATAAGACGGAAGCTTGGCGAGGAGTCCGTGGTGCCATACTCGATCTAATGCCTTGGAGATATTATTATCAAGTGCCACGGCTAAGGTTTCACCATATTTTTCAATAGATTGCTGCTATATATTTGAGATGCAAGCGAGCAGGTCACCAGTTGATCTCTGATGACGGAAGCCATATTGCCTATCGTTGATAATACCTGAATGTTCCACGTATTTCATGAGCTCGATGTTGATAGCTTTCTCCATGATCTTTGAAATGATACATAGCAGTGCGATCGGTCGGTAGTTGCTAGGTAGGGTCATTTTGCCTTTTTTAGGAACTGGTTGTACTCTTGCAATTTTCCAGTTGGGCGGGAATATCCCCAATTTGTAAGAGTAGTTGAACAACTTACGGTAAAAGTGCACTTATCATGCGATGGGTTTTTTTTCGAAAATTTTTTTTGGTACTTACGTATTTTCGTCTGAAAAACACGAATTTCATAATGAAAATGTGAACAAACCATTATTTATCAAGATATTTCACTATAAAGTTACAAATTTCACCATCTTTTCCGCCTGTCTTCTGGATCACATTTAGAACAATTTGCCCTTCTTTTTCCATCATTGGACAATTTATATATATCACACAATGTTGGACACATTTTTTTTATTATATGAGTCAACTAGAAATATGATTTTCTTGTGATTTATCCATATTTAGTGAAAAGAAGGAAGAATATCATTTGAAATAATGGCGTGTGTAATGTCATTCCAAAGCAATCTATTGACATTTGACATCTCGTATTTGGATTGCATATGGATTAAATGGTCGTCATCTGGTATGCGTGCTCACTAAATAGGAAAAACTCGCCATAAATAGTATATTATTCGACGAGCGTGTAATGATGGCCATTACTCATGAGAATGAAGTTTGCGACGTGAGCCGCAGGCGAACGTCGTAATCATTCGAATGAGTAATAGCCATTACACGCAAGTAGAATACTATACTTTTTCTATGACTGAGTGATGAACTGGTTGAGTTCATCAGCAGTGAATATCTTCGCTTTCTTTGACATATATCCATCAGATTTCCTTTTTAGAAATGCTCGTAACTTCAAATATTTGTCAATATTCACATAATTTTCCATTGAAATTGTGCTTCTTAGTATATGCATGGAACACTGTGACCACAAGGAGGATGCTTTGTGTTTAGCTGCTAATTCGCCAAAATAGGCTAGCAGTACATTATCCGAAAACGAATTTGCAAGTTTTGCTTTTCGCCAAACCACTTCATACCCTTTTTTAGATTCCTCGGGCAAAAGGCTGATTGTACTTGAATTGGCAGCTTTCGAAACTTCTGATGGTGGAGAGCAGTTGAATTCATTTTCGCTTTCTGAATCCATTTTTGGACAAAAAGTCAGTTCTAAATCACGCCAGATAGCTATTGTCAAATTATGACATTTCATGACGAGTCTGATTCAAACGTTTCACTGCATGCCCCATATTATCATTACAACTGGTGTCAACTGTTTTGTAGGTAATGAATCTGCTTTGTTGCTGATTGGCCATAGCCTGTTGTGTAAAGGCAAGGATGGAGAAGGCTCTTACACACGGGGCGTGGCTTGTTTTGTGTAATGCATCCAGTTACCCAACAAAAATGTTACAGTAAAAGGGTCTAGTTTTCAACAGTCATAGAAAAAATCATATTTCCTGTTGAATTTTCTATCTTAAAATGTGTCAGTGAAGTACATCATGAGTATATAAAGTGTCCAATGACAAAATAATAAGAGCAAGTACCTGTAAAATGCATCCAACACAAGGGGGAAAAGAAGGCGAAATTTCGAACTTTTTCTTGAAATATCTCGATAAATAGTGGTTTGTTCACATTTTCATTATGAAATTCGTGTTTTTCAGACAAAAATACGTAAGTACCAAAAAAATTTTTCGAAAAAAAACCCATCGCATGATAAGTGCACTTTTACCCAACTTACAGAGAACAGGTGTTAGTTCGGAAGCACATTTCTTGAGGACAATCGGTGAGATTCTGTCGGAGCCACATGCTTTGTTGGTGTTGAGATAAAATAAAATCTTTCTTATAGTACGTTGTTGAAAGGTGATCTCGGACATATGACTGTTAATTGGCGTTATGTTTGGAGGTTGTTTTACCGATGAATTTAAACTCTTGCCTTATCATTTCTTTTACACAATGATGTATAAGTGGATTGTTCGAACGACCAGACCTCAATTTCTTACTTTCACGCTACAGAGAGACAAAATGTCACAAACGACAGTCTGCAGCAATCGCAACACCAGAACAATATCTCAAAGTGGTTTGATGACAATCGATTAGAATAATAATTATTGTTGAATTGACTGTTAGACAATCCGATTCACGATCTGAATGTTAGGCCCTAATAAGTCAAAAAAAAATCGATCACTCATGTCAAACATGAATAACCCCCCGGGCTTGCTTCGGGACTATCTTTCGGAATATGTCAAACAACATAACAATGACAGATTTTCATTTTGGGAGACGAAATTTACCACTTGAATAGTATCGATCAGTATCGATGGTATAAATTTTAGTGTTGATTCAGCTCAATGGCAAGGCAGGTGAGTTCATTACAGCTAATTTTTGTTAGTTCATTAATTTTCAATAAATATATCGGGTAGAAAGGAAAAAAATCAATATTAATCGTTTATTCAATTCATTGATCAATATTGAATACATAAACTACCCAACAAACCGAATTTGATACGAAATTTTTGGTGAAATCTAACACATATGACATATGAAGAATAGCCTCATTTTCATTATTTGGATGCTACAGGGTGATCCACCACAGATATAATTCAATGTTCGACGTGGCAAATAGCCACGAAAGTAGTTGTTTTCTGTTGAATTTTCAGGATGATAATAAGTTTATATACATATTTTCATCTGAAGGAGAATGCAAATTCTCA